TTGCGCATTTACTTAGACGTTTTGTATATTCGTAGTGATATAGCCACTACAGGTCTGACCAAAATTTGTTCTAGCATACCTCAGAAAAAACATTGTTGACGATGCCGGAACTCCAGATTTTTGCTTCATGTTGAATTCTCTGGATAAGGATAGGAGTGATCTACGTACGTGCTCAAAATATTTTGATATATAGTCTGGTTTTCGTCGCACGAAAATTTCCAAGGTATGTATGTCTGATTTCATATTAAATGTTCCGATTTTGGCTTTTGCTCTTAACTTTTAACAATATCTCATATTTCGGTATCCAACAGTACCTGATTTACCCCCACAGCCGCTAGTTATCTTGCGTCGGACTATTCCTCAATTTATTTCTCCTGGACACTCAGGTATATATTCCCCCTATCGAGGGAATAAGGCTTCCACGCTTAGCACTTTCTTTCAGCGAAAAAAGCTTTGCGACATTAAGAATTGCTAAATTCCGTGATAAATCCGATGAATTTTGTATGCTCGCACTGACTAACCGCCAAAAGCATAGTGAAAACAATAAACACTGACATTGTACTTTTAATAAAGTAATATTTGCCCACCTAATGCAAAAACATGGTGGGTTTTCTCGTTTTGTTTCTTTAACTTTTATTTTTTAGTGTAGTGACATCTATTTTTCAAACATCGAAGTTATTGACAAAAGCGAACTTCTCAACGAAATAGTTAACCACAAGGACCGCAGGAAAGAAATTAGGCGTAATCGTAAACTAGAAAAGTACGGAATCTATACTGGCAATGATTCTGTCAAAACCCTAAAAAAAGCTCAGGACTTCGAGAAACAATTAGAAACCCTTCAAAAAGAGGATCCCGAGAAGGCAATGTCCCTCAGTCAACGTAGATCATGGCTTCTTGCTAGACTCAAAGCTCAAGGTACTTCTTAAGTATTCTAAAGCTTGATTTTAAAGGCGTGAAAGTCAAAACAGATATTTCTCGTTTGAAAATGTCGGCCAAAAAATCTGAAGCCATAAAACGTAGGAGTTCTAAGTCTTGGAAGGAAAGGGCCGATCACGTGGCTTCTAATAAAGATGCCAAGCAAAAGAAACGCGAACGCAATCTGCAAATCCGCAGGGATTCGAAAAAGGCCAAGAAGTATAAGAAACTTGTCAAAAAAGGCCACATCCTTCCCCAACTTCACAATGATTAATTGGGAGATTTATTTTGTACATATACCTCACATATTTGACAATCTTTTTTCTTGCTCTTTCCTATCCACTTTGGATTTACCACTTCACCTCGTATAACTGTCTCCGCGGGGCGTAGCCGCTATTAAGGTCATTGCATTTTATTTATTGCTTTGCATTTATATTGAAATAGTGTGTGACTAATAATTTGTCCGTCGTTAACAGAAACGGCAAATAGTTATTCTAATTCGTCACTTCATGCATGTAACAGACATTCAGACGTCTTCATAATTCTCTCCTCAAATCTACCACTCTTAAACAGAAAGTCAATATGAATGGAGCATGAGCACGGTGACTTTGAAGTCTACTTTGCGACCACATGTACCACATACATCCTGCGCCCTTTGGAAATTTGGAGAAACCCAGGAGTTATCTTTTTTTCACAGCGGCTTTATTAATATCCTTGATGTGTGGTGCCCGAACGCCATCTCGACTAAGAGTCTGCATTAACTAAGACGAAACTATGGCGCACTTAAGGCCGACAAGGAGAGGTGACTGTGGTCGTGTGGGTACTCGTATCGGAAGTTAATGGTGCTGTCCGAAAGCAGGTGCAGCCGTTTACTTTGAGTTGGTGAAGAAGTCAGCACAAAGCCTTGCCCAATTCACCCACCGAGAAGTCAAGGTGATTATTGCACCAACGGTTTTTATAGAGGTGATTGTGTCAAGTTCACCAAACCCGTTGCCGCTGGACTCCGCGAGATAATTTAGGCCATCGGGACCAGATATGACCAAAAGCATATGCAGTACATTGCAGTGTGCTCTTTAGTCCAGAA